TAGATGTGAGACCTGAAAACATAAGAATCCTAAAAGAGAGCACAGGCAGAAAGGTCTCTGACATCAGCAGTAGCAACATTTTTCTAGACATATCTCCTAAGGGAAATAAAAGCAAAAATAAACCATTGGGTCTACCTCAAAATAAAAAGCTTCTGCACAGCAAAGGAAATAATCGACAAAACTAAAAGACAACATAAGGGATGGGAGAAAATATTTGCAAATAACATACCTAATAAATGGTTAGTATCCAAAATATATAAACAACTTATACAACTCAACACCAAACAAAAAACAATCCAATTCATGGGGCGCCTGGGTGGCTTAGTCGGTTGAGCGTCCAACTTTCGCTTAGGTCATGTACTCGCGGTTCGTGGGTTCGAGCCCCGCGTCGGGCTCTGTGCTGACTGCCAGCTCAGAGCCTGGAGCCTGTTTCGGTCTGTGACTCCCTCTCTCTCTGACCCTCCCCTGCTCATGCTCTCTCTCCTAGAAATAAATAAAACATTTAAAAAAAAAAAACAATCCAATTCAAAAATGGAGAGAACACATGAACAGACATTTCTCCAAAGAAGATATCCAGATGGCTAACAGATACATGAAAAGATCACTTATCATCAGGGTAATGCAAATCAAAACCACAGTAAGATATTATCTAACACCTGTCAGGATGGCTAAAACCAACAACACAAGAAATAACAAGTGTTGGCAAGTATGTGAAGAAAAAGGAACCCTTGGCACTGTTTGGGGAAACTCAAACTGGCGCAGCCACTGTGGAAAACACTATGGCGGTTCCTCAAAAAAAGTTAAAAATATAACCACCCTACGATCCAGTAATTGCACTACTGGATGTTTACCAAAAAAATACAAGAATGCTAATTCAAAAAGACACACACACCTTTATGTTTACTGCAGCACTATCTACAATAATACAATAACCAAATTAAGGAAGTATCCCAAGTATCCATCAATAGATGAATGGATAAAGAAAATGTGGTGTGTTTGTGTGTATGTATACAACAGAATAGTATTCAGCCATAAATAAAATGAGATCTTGCCATTTGCAACAACATGGATAGAGCCAGAGAGTATAACAGGAAGTGAAATAAGTAGATAAGAGAAAGACAAATACCATATGATTTTACTCATATGTGGAACTTAAGAAACAAAACATAAGTGCCTGGGTGGCTCAGCTGGTTAAGTGTCTGACTCTTGATTTTGGTTCAAGTCATTATGTCACGGTTCCCAAGACGGAGCCCCAAAACACTCTATCCCCACAGAGATGGAGTGCTAGCAGCACAGAGCCGTTTTGGGATTCTCTCTCCCACCTCATTCTGCCCCTCCTCCACTTGGGCCCTCTTATTCTCAAAAATACACACACACACACACACACACACACACACACACACACAAAACACAACACATGAGTACAGGGAAAAAAGGGAGAGATAAACCAAAAAACAGATTCTTAACTGTAAAGACTTGATGGTTACCAGATGGGAGGTGAGTAGGGGGATGGATGAAGGAGATTAAGAGTAAACTTATCACAATGAGCAATGAGTAATGTACAAAATTGTTGAATCACTGTATTGTAAAAGTGAAGCACTATGTGTTAACTCTACTGGAATTAAAATAAACTTAAAATATGAGAGAATTGACTTAAAAAAAATAGGGCAAATATCCTAAGAGGACAACAAAAAATTGGCCTCCAAGAGCAGGTGATTGTCCACAAACTACCAAAGTCTACCTCTACCATGAATCTGGTTAAGGAAATCCCCCAGAGAAAACCTTTTAAAAAGTAAACCACACTTTTCTTAAAGATTCGCTTTTATAAGCTGATTAAATAAAATTTCCTCTGCCATTCGAGCCAATATTCTGCAAAATTTTGAAAATTTTGTGGTTTATAAAGCAGAAAGGGCCAGGATTCCTGTCAGGGGCTCCGAGTTTCCATCTCAATTCTACTTTACCAGCTGTGTGTGTTTTAAGTAATCTCTCCAAAGCCTTTAAATGGGCACCCTCCTACACTGTTGGTGGGAATGTAAACTGATACAGCCCCTCTGGAAAACAGGGTGGAGGTTCCTCAAAAAATTTACAATAGAACTCTCCTATGACCCAGCAACAGCACCGCTAGGAATTTACCCAAGGGATACAGGAGTACTGATGCACAGGGGCACATGAACCCCAATGTTCATAGCAGCACTCTCAACAATAGCCAAATCACAGAAAGAGCCTAAGTGTCCATCAACAGACGAATGGATCAAGAAGATGTGGTTTATCTATACGATGGAATACTACATGGCAATGAGAAAGAATGAAATCTGCCATGTGTAGTAACATGGATGGACCTTGAGGGTGTTATGCTGAGCGAAATAAGTCAGGCAGAGAAGGACAGATACCATATGTTTTCACTCATATGTGGAACAGGAGAAACTTAACAGAGGACCATGGGGGAGGGGAAGGGAAAAAAGAGTTAAGGAGAGTAAGGGAGACAAACCATAAAATATTGAGAACAAACTGAGGGTTGATAGGGGTGGCGGAGAGGGGAAAATGGGTGATGAGCATGTAGGAGGGCACTTGCTGGGATGAGCACTGGGTGTTATATGGAAACCAACTTGACAATAAACTATAAAAAAATTAAAAGAAAAAAAGAACCCTCCCCCCAAAAAAGTAATCTCTCTGAAGCCTTTAAATGTGGCTAACAACTGGCCTGTTGTTACTAGAAAGAGTAAATGATGATGTATATATTACTGGGAAATTTTAATGATGGAATAATAATATACAAAACCTGAGAAAAGCAGTCCAGAGGAGGCATCAAAAAAGTATCAATTCCTTCCTTTTAGGTAATTTCCCACCCCCTTTATCTAACACACAATCACCAACACATAACCTTTGTAATGGGTAGCTACATGCAACCAATATCAAATTAAAATCAAATTCCTTCTTCCAAACAAGAACCTTTCTGAAGTTTCAGATAAACCCTGACCCAACAGCTGAGAGATTGTAGGCAACATAAGAATTTGGTCAACTCAAGGCCTAATGCAGCCCAAGACCAACAGAGCACATGGAAAACTAAGGTCTCTCCAGCACTGGCCCCTCATGGACCCAGGGAAAATCCACAACCTTTGGATACTGTTGAAGTGACCAAGAAACCATGAAGCAAGTGTTCACTCCTTCAGCTCTCTGCAATAAGCACCCAGCCTGTGGCCTGTCCCATCCCCATGATGTGTGCAAACATACATGAGGCGAAAACAGTTTTATTAAGAGAGCCCAGCCGTTAAGACATGAGGTTAATACACGAATGAAGAATGAGGTTGGTTGGGTTTGTCTTTTTTTTTTTTTTTTTTAATGCCAGTTGATCAGTGTCCGTGCTGAAAACTGGGAATCCTAACTGCAAGGTTCCAGAAATGAGAAGTGCCTCTTCCCCAAGATGTGCCAGGATGCGTGTCAACCTGATGATTCTATCACCTTACTTCATTCAATATCCCGCCATGAGCTGAAAAACAGTTCTTTCCCATTGCACACAGAAAAGCTTTTAATTTCAATATAAGACAACCAATTTATATTCAAGCCAAATGTTTTTTAGAGAGACTTTCAGTTGGATGTAGATAAATAATGAAAGCCTCTCATAAATCAAGGAGGAATAAATGTATTGTTTTTATGTATAGCTATAAACACCAAACTAAAAACGTTGATAGAATTACGAGATTATAGTGTAATTTGGCAAAATATCAAAATACAAATGATAGAAAACAAGTGTCTTACGTCTGACTTGAAAAGAACTTAGAAACTGGAGTTTTGAAATAGACAATCACATTAATTTAGACATCGTTATGGTCTATCACTCATCTCCCCAAAAAGTTACAAAATCCAAAACATCTTGAAATTGATGTAATTCAAGAGTATCTGGTCTTTCTAACTTACCTCCTAAAAGGACAAACAACTCCCTACACACCCTGAAAACACTTCTGAAACAGCCCTTGAACACTTCACCTTACAAGCATCATTCCTCTCGAACATGTGCCCTCCACACAGAACATAGGTTTCTCCCATCTGCCTTCCTACCTGACACCCAGCTCCATTCCTGGCCCAGAGGACAGGAGCCCAAGAAAGGTTGATGTGGGGCCAAAAATACACGTTAAGTCCCTTGTGCAAAAAACAGGGCTGAGGACAAGTACACAAAGCCCAAGAACGGCCTGACAAATGTTTTTGAAAAGTCAGAAAACTAGTTTCTTCATGCTATTGACAAAGATCAGGTATGTCTAAAGAAAAACCATCTGCAATCTACCTGTGAATTTTCCATTTGCATAGGACTACGTAGTCTCCTCTTCCCCCACCCCCATCAAATGTGACAGGTGCTATAGACAATAGACTGCTTTTTCACTGTACATGAATAAAAGGGGTTTATCTTAATATACCAGGATTTACAAGTTAGGACTGCAAGAGACCTCAGACATTGTCTAGTCCAATCCTTTCACATCATATTAGCTGATCAGGGGCAGAATCCTGAATCCGCTGGGTCACAGGAGAGGGCTCCACTTCCCAGGCCAGCGTCCTCCGCAAGGGACCAGGAGTTATTTTTGTGCTGAGACTGTTTATCAGCTCTCCCCAGCCATTTCTTAAATGTGGCCCAACACACTGTATAGTTCATAAACAAACCTTTCTCTCTTTTTCCCCAGAGATATAAAATATAATCAGATATTTAACTTCAAATAATTACACCAAAATATTAAGGTACCTTTCCCTTTCCCCTTATTAAAAGGAACATTGCTACTCAATACAAAATACTGTACCTGAGGATTTTTCCCCATATGCAGTTTTCCTATCTTGTAACCAATTAACACTCTGAGATGTACAACGAAGACAAAGAATTACCAGAAAGCAAAATATTGACCAGAAAGCAAATCTGCACACGTAGTTCTGCAATATTACTATCTATAAGGACCAACTCGTAATACATACTCAGCTTCATCCAACCCTTCTCTGAAGTAGGCAAAAATCTCACTTACCAAAAACAGAGAACCATATTCAAAGGTCTCATTCAGAACTTCCTTTTTTAGTTCTTGTTTTTCCATAGGTGTCCCATTTTCTTTTTCACCCTTCTTTTCAGGGTTAATCCTATCGATGTCGGAAGCGTATGTTATTTCCAAGCATTCTGCACTTTCCATTTTAACAGGGAGTATGTCTTTCATCTTCTGAAAAAAGGTAGCCACGGACTCGGTCTCGCATGCTGAATTAGAACTTGCTTTGTCAACATCTTCCTGATTCGATTTCACGGCAGATGTTGTTCTTGGAACCTTGTGTGAAGCATTTTTAGAATGAGTTGTAACATGCACAGCCTGGCTAGTAATGAGTTTATTAAATTGCTGCTTATGCGTCTTGTTAATTAGGATTTCTGCTTTTGTATCTGCATTCAAGTCAGGCCTTGGTGTTCTGCTCAAAGCTGTCAACTGTCTTGAGGACGACACGGATAAGGGTGACGAGGCACTGGTTAACTGAGGTCTGGGTGTGACCTTCGACAGAGCAGGGTCTCTGGCCTGTAACACTGGTCTAGACATAACTTTAGCTTTGACATTCTTGAAGTTTGGTCTTGGGTAACTTATAATTTCAGTTTTTCTAACTTTGCTGCCTATAGGAGTATTCATTTTAGTTGTCAATTTTCCTAGGTTAGGTTTACACATGTTCATAGGTGCCCCCTTCAAGTTCGGTACATTTCTAAGCTCTTGATGACTTTTCTCCGCTTTACTACATTTCTCTGACACTTCAATAGGTGAAATAGAAAATGTTGCATTGGGCGGTTCTAGGACTGGTGTTGACATGCAAACAGTATTATTCGTGTTAATAGCCATATCCTTGGCATCCCAACTCAGTTCAACTGATGAAGCCATCTTCTGTCCTGATGGGCTAGTCATTATCAATTCTATGGTACGATTTTGGGTTTCCAAGTCCTTTTCGTGAGAGGCATCGTGTGTATCTCCAGCCACCGTGACTTCATGTTCTGGGTTCAGCACTTGGGCTTCACTTTTATCAAAAGCTGGCACCAGTAAAGGGCATTCATCATCTATAAGACAATTGGACACTGTTTCTCTTAGATTTTGGCTCATTTCCTTTTGCCCATATGAACCCTGTGAATGTGTCTCACTATTTGGTTCATCTTTAGATAAACAAAAGAACTCTTGTAATACAGCCCCATTGGGAACATCCATGCCCTCAGAAACTGGCGTTGGAGCTTGTATCTCTTTTTCGCCAACTAATCCTTGCTGTGACCCATCTGCGTGGTCACTGGTGACTTGTCCTGAAGAATACGGACACTGAATGACAAGATCTGGAACAAGAGTATCAGTTTGCATCATATCAGGAAATGCTGTGTAAGGTGTACCTTGGGCCTCTGATGCTGTGGCTTGAGGGTTTTCAAAGCTGTCTTGATGGGAATTCATTTCTCTCACATGTAACTTATCAGAATGGGGAGATGTATGAACTGAACAGGATAAAGATGGATTTCCACTCCTCGTACCACTAGGCTGCAGATTTCCAGTGGTATGCAAAGACTGACTCTTTCCAGTGGCATGATGTGTTACAAAGGTGCAGTTAACATTATCCACTGTCATGTCAAATGTCTGGTTTATCTCCAAGGCAGTAAGATAGTCTGGAGAGTTCAAATCATCATCGTTGGGTTTCCACACAAAAGGCAGCAATGTCTCGGCACTCTGGTCCTGTAATGGTTCTAGGGAATGACAACTGCTCGGCAGATACTTTGGCTCCTCTGCGTTTACAACATGCACACAAGACTGACACGTGGAGACTTTATGGTTGTCTAACACCTCCTTCCTATTCGACTCACTTGATGCCTTTTGGTGATGAAGCACTTCAACACATGGAGGAGTTAAAGCAATAGTTTCACCAATGTCCACGGCAGAAATGGCTTCATACTCAACCACCATGTCATCCGCGATGGCAGAGGTCCAACTCACATTATCGGCTGAGGAGTTTTGGGTATGTGGGGAATTTTGGTTGTATGCACAGTTATTTTCATTTTTATCACTGAGAAGTAAGGATTGCAGTTCATCTTCTGTTTTCTCATCCGAATTATCATCATTCATCCTGAATATTAACTTTAAACAGCTACCATTTTCTTTCTTCTTTAAATCCTTTCAAATGAAAGGAAAGGAAAAACTGTATCTCCTAAATTTTTTTCTTTTAGCACAGTTGAAACTTTCTAATATGCTTTCAGGTTGTAATGATTTGCTGTTCCCTGGAAGAAATAAAATGATTAAATAAGTATAAGAAAAATTAACAAGTCACCACTTAATTTCAACCACTTTATTCTTACACTTGGAACTTAAACCTGTGGAGAGGGGTAAAGTAGGGGTCAAGTATCACAACTTTTCAAAAAGGCTTTTGTGTTTGAGAAAATGGGGTAGAAGACAGAGACCCTGCTAAAATTTGCCCTGTGACTGACTTCGCTTCTAAGATGCCTCCTCCCTATTCCCATTGATTCTTATTTCTCAGAAGAGGGAAGGAAGCGAAATCTAATGGCCTTTCCTTGTTGGTTAACCATTGGTCCTCATTTGCTGAGGACACTCCCAACTTATTCCTGCTGTCCCATCATAAGTAGTTATAATGCCCTTTTCATTTTCAGAAGGGTCCCTTAGTGTTTGCATGGAGAGTGATTACCAGACAGACCTGGCAAACACAGCAAATAAGCTAAAGATCCATGAAGATTTAGGACACTGGCATCTCTCTTTTCCTTCACTAAGTGAAGATAAAGAGTGAAAGGGAAGGGAATGAGCAGTGACTGCTAACTGGGTATTTCTTTTGAGAGTCACGAAAACATTTTTTTTGTCTTTTTACGAAAATGTTCTAAAGATTATGGTGATGATTGTGCAATATCATAAACACGCCAACAACTACTCAGTTTGTACACTAAAAAAGCAGTAAAAACAACCCATTAAAGCTTTCAAATCCAAGGACTTTTGCAAATAACTAAAATTTGATTATGCTTGTAGTCCACCTGAAGTCCTTAAAAAAGTCCCAAACGTCCAAGTGAGGACTTCAAGTCAGAAGCTATACTTTCAATTGAATTGAGTTTCTAATTCCAGCTCAATGTCAATCAGATGTCATGGTTCTGTCATGGTTACACATGAGGGAGGGAAATGGCATTCTGTAACCTGCAAATATGTCAATTAAGAGATCTCATTTTTCTATTTTGTAATCCTCTCTCTGTGAATCCAAACTTCAGTGACCTAAATACAACCAGGAGAACTGGAACCATGGAGCAACTGAAAGGATCAGTATCTTCCTGAACAGTGCTCTGTGTGTTTCTGGCCGTGCATCCTGAAATCAGCCTTTACGGGGGGCGGGGGGTGCAGAAGAAAGGCTGCCATGTTTCTCTCAATAGCATGCATGCGTAAACATACAAACACTGGACTTGGGCGCATGCACATGCATGCGCGCACACTCAAAAAAAGATTTTCAATCCTAAAATAAGGGTTGTATGATTTATATACGATGGAAAATATAAATCATTTTCCCACCATAGTTCTTTAAGTCAATAAAGAAATCAATGAAGTAATAGTTGTTTGGTTAGCACCTTAATAAAAGCTTTGCAGAGGTACAATTTTTTTAATCTTTGGGTAAAAAACATGTTCAAACTACATATTTAAATCAAGAAGTGTATTTATTCATTTTTTAGACTTGCATGTATGGAGTGGAATGTCAAAAATCAGTAAATATGTTACATCTGTCTATTTCAATACAGGTCAATATTTAAGAGATTCTGGTATAAACAAATATGAGCGTTGTAAACAGAAGCTTTTAACATAAATCACAGAAGTCATTTGTCTGTATCAACATAGTCATGAGATTTAATTAAGGAGTTTTACTTCCTGAGCTCCTTCTTCCAAAGTACATTTTTAAAAATTGACTTAAAGACAAAACCCTGATTAAAATGGAAATAAAGTCACAGCATTTCAAGTAATTTTTAAAGTAACTACATAATAGAATACAAATGTATAATAGGATACAGACATTCTTTATTTAGGTTGCTTCTAGTTTTTCTCCTTTATAAATAACACTACACATTTTTGCAATCTTTGACTACCTGTGATTATTTTCTTTGGAAAAACTTCCTAGAAATAAAAGCATTACTGAGCCAAAGATTATGATTTGTTTTTAAGGCTCTTGATAAAGTCTGCCACATTGTTAGATAAAGAGTGTGTGTGCGTGTGGGGGGGGGGTGTCTTTATAATATGTTACTATGTCTATATTATAGATATAAGATCTGAGTTTTACTTTTAAAGTTTATACATTTCATTAAGCATTTTTCTCAAGTATTTTTCCAAGTTATTATAATATAAAAACATTTCTAACTGTTGTGAAATTCCACTCAAGTTTAAATGTTTTAGGTTTACAAGTCAGTAGTTTACAAAGAGTATTGAAAAAGTAAAGAACCCACCAACCATTCCAATTTTCATGACTGCCTAGTATAATCTGGTTTATGATTTTTTTTAATTCACAAAATATAAATTCAAAAGTTGGTGAACAAAGCTATCAAAAAAAATCACAAAAAATGCACTGAGTACAAATACTTCAGGAGAGTTTTGATAGGAAATAAATTTACAGAAATGTTTTCTATCTTTGTAGTTAACAGTAAAATAATTTGTGGTCTAAGAATTTGGATAGTAAAAAATTCTCGAGATTATCAGTTCCATGGTTAGTTGGAAGATCAACATTCACTAACAAAAATGAGAGCTTTGGATTTCTGGGTGGTTCAGTCAGTTAAGGTCTGAGTCCTCATTTCAGCTCAAGTCATGATTGTAGGGGTATGGGATAGAGCCCCATATCAGATTCCATGCTCAGCACAGCTCCTGATTAAGATTCTCTCTCATTCTCTCTGCCCCTCTCCCCTGCTCTTGCTACTATAAAAAATTTTTAAAAAGTAAAAAAGGAAACAACAGCTTCATGTCATCACTATGAATATAAAACCACGGTCAGGAAAGAGTTGACCAGAATTCCCTCAGGAATTTTGTCAAAAAAGTTAAAAGTCAGCCATTTTGTCTGATGGCCAATATCATTTTTCTCCCACTTGAAAAATGGTATGTAAGTTTTCTACTACATGCTGTACTGATGTTACTTGAGATGATGTTGAGATTTCACCTGACCCAGGAAGTATTGTCTTTGTATTTCTATAATGGCAATGTCATTTGTGACACCTTCGAAGTTACTATTTGGGCAATATTTTTTATTAAGTAAAATGAAGTTTTTTTAAAAAGGCAAAAATTTTGTAACAAATGAATCTCACCCAAAGAGTTAATTTCTCAAGTTGTCTTTCAGCAGCCTTCTCTACCAGAACAAAGTAGAATGAGCAAGTTTCCTTTTTAAGAATGCCATAAAGACATCCTTTTCTGAGAACATTCTGAATGAGAAATTCTCTACTTGTTAAGATTTGAGAATATTAAAGGCTATCCTCTTGAATAGAAAGGTTACCAAAATATACATTTTTCTGATTATTTGTAAAGTTAATAATATGTACTAAAAGCAATGGTCAGTTAAAAGAACTACTTGTGTAAGCTTTGACCTATCTCAATAGCTTTGGAAAAAAGGAGACTACTTTCTAAATAGTAGCCTAAAAAGAATTATTGTTTATTCTCCAAAGGCAGAAATTCCCTTGTTTATTACAGTGAATAGATACACCTCAAAAGTTGAATCATATTAAGTCCTTATGTTCTCATATTAATACTAGAGGGAATTTTTAATTTTTTTTTCAAAGTTTATTTATTTATGGAGACAGAGAGAGAGCATGATTAGGGGAGGGGCAGAGAAGAGAGAATCCCAAGCAGACTCTGTGCTGTTGGGATGGAGCCTGATGCAGGGCTCAATCTTACAAACCGTGAAATTATGACCTGAGCTGAAACTGAGAGTCAGATGCTTAACCAACTAAGCTGCCCAGGTGCCCCAATGCTAGAAGACACTTTTAAAATCTAATTCAAATGTCCTCATTTTACAAGTGAGGAAATCACCTCTAAGACAGAAACTACATGACTTGGCCAAATCGCTTTCTGGAATGTCAGTACTAGGTTATTCAACAGTTTTGCACCTTATCTGCTGATGAACTATAAACTCAGTAAGGGCTTATACATCTGGTATCTTCTACATCTTCCTGTTACTGGTCACATCCATCCCAGTAATGTGAACTTAATACAGATAAATTTGCTACCTCATAGGGCCATTATAAAATAAAGAAGGTTTTCAGAAGTTACACACATGTGAAAACTAGCTTCATTACTTTATATCCATAAAGAACTTTAATTTTATTCTTTATTTATGCCTACATATGGCAAGCCCGTCTTAAGATTTGAATACAAACAGTTATAAATTACAGCTTTCAAATCACAGAATCATGTCAGGGCTTCTTAGAGTTTTATGAACTCACAGATCATACCACTAAGGCTTTCTAGGCTTCAAAACCCCAAATAGTACCTGGTCTTCAATTCATTTAAAAAAAAAAAAATAGAAGACATATGTATAATATCTGAGCTACCAATCTTATTCTAAAGTGAAAAATAAAAAAGTTGAACCAAAATCATTAGCATGTTTTATTCATGTATTCATGAAACTCTACCTTCTGTTGAAACCATTCAAGGTGCTAAAAGTTTTACCCCTAAGGCTCACCTCACCATATTACTGTTTTTCACAGTTCTAGCTACAATTCTTAAATTAGCTCCGACAACCTACCTTCTGACAAACTCAACCTCCTCCAGCCAAGTGTAGTAAAGCACATCTTACCCCTTACAGCCAAGAATAAGCATACTTAGTAGTCAGTTTCTTATGAGAATCATGATTTCCAGTGAAGCCATTTAAACAGGAGGGAAGCTAGTATTGGTCTGATGGATTTCAAAATGAAGGCTATAGAAGTGCCACCAGAAAGCTGGACTTTACAGACAACTGGGCATTTTGTGAAAAAATGCAAACCGATCCAGAAGGGCTGGGTTACTGCTAAAGACTCTGCATTTCTCTCCATCTCCTTGGTTATGCCGAAGCTCTCAGTCCATGGACCATGCTTGGAGCAACCAAAGAGGATGTCCGTGAGAGCTTTATGAATGCCCATGTAGTGGAGGTGATCACTACAATTAGTGGACTGTCAGAGCAAAGCTACCTTCACATCTGACTGTAAAACTTCCTCTAACTGGGGACAGCCTTTCCTTAGCTCTGAATGCATGCTTTTGTACTTTGCTCTCAGAGTGAATACTCCCA